CCAGGCTGTTCCCTTTCCACTCACATGGTCCTCTAATCGACAGGACATGGACTGTGTGGTAGCTCTTTTGCAAAATCCTATAGCCTACGATAATGAACTGTACCAAACTCTCTCTCTACTATTTCCGGAAATGTAGCACCCTGCAGGTCAGCCCCAAGGGCCATCTACCCTCCATCTTCCAAGAACAATTTTATCCAATGACAAGGGGAAAATGTGGTGTTCCTTGGAAACTTAACAGGATGTAATGAGGTCAGTCACTTCCATGAGCTGACTCATCAGTCCACCCTTATTCATCCCTGAGCAGATGTATGGTGATATTGTGGAAAACCGTTCCTGGACACTCTGCCAAATAATTGGAGTGGTACTTGTGCTCTAATTCAACTGGCTATCCCTTTTACCCTGACATTTCATCAAACGGAAAAATAAAAAACATGACATCATAAAACAAGAGAAGCTTTTTCTTTTCGAGACTCAGGCAGAACAACTAAGCCAAGACATGTTAAGAAAGTCTGAAGAGGAAAAAGTATAAAGTTAAGAGGAGGAAACTGTACAAAGTAAAAAGTTCTTCAAAGTTTCCCTTCTTGTTAAAGAATACTAATAATATATGTCAGACTAACTTTCTTCAAAGCCTTCTTGATTTTTGTGAATAACTTTGTTAAGCCCTATCCTATACAGCTGTTAGATATAAGGGAGTAAGTACACTCTATGTCCTTGTACTTTAACCAAGATATTTAAGTACATAATACATTCAGTGTCCTTGTACTTTAATCAAGATATTTATGTTATTACTTTTCTAAGTCCTTTCAAAAGTAACTTCCTCTGCCTTCCTTATTTGGACTTCCTCTTTTCCTTTTGTTCTCCATTGCCTTTACCTATTTAGAAAAGTTTTTAAGTTGTTAGCCAATCGGGTTCAGTTTATATTGTGAAGTCTGGCTCCAACCAACAAAGATCGGACACAGCAGTAAGGACCCAATGCATAAGGAATAAATATGCCTGCCTTTCCTTTGTTCATTGTACTCTTGTGCAAGATGGCTGATGAGCAGTACCCTTTCTACAGAAAGTAAAATTGCCTTGCTGAGAAAACTTTTTGTCTGAATACTAAGTTTTCCTTGTGGTACCTAGGAACAAGCATTCTAACAGAGGGTGAACGAGGGGTGATATCAAAGATGATTCCCTGGTTTTTGACAGGAACAAATGGGTGGGTGGAGGTGTCATTTGCTGAGAAGAGGAAAACCAAAGAAGCAGATTTATAGGAAAGGTAGAGTTTAGTTTTGGACATTTTATGCTTGAGATGCCTGTGAACATTCAAGTGGGGATGTCAAATAGGCAGCTGGATATGTAGGTCTGGAATGAGAGAAGTATATTTCCTTATTATTTCTTTTTCTTTTTTAAAGAGGTGGTTGGTGGTGGCGGGGGGGAAGATTTCACTATATTGCCCAGGCTGAGCTTGAACTACTGAGATCAAAGGAATCTCCTCCCTCAGCCTTCTGAGTAGCTGGGACTACAGGCATGTGATCAGCTTTGTCTGAATTCTTTTTTGGGCTAGGTTTTAAAAAACTGTATCTAAAAGCAGACTATTGACAACCTCATGAGTAAGTAGAACTGACTCTACAGTATTAGACTTTGTTGCTGAAGTAAAATCTGACTTTTCAGACTTGATAGGGCTTTTTTTCTTTTTTTTGAGTAAAGTGAAGCTTCCTTATAACCAAAGGAAATGACAGAGAATGTTCACTGCATGGGCAATTGGTCACTTCACATAAAATCACAAGTTAACTCTCTAACAAAATGCTTAATTCCTACTGATGGTGTTCTGCAAATAGGTCCAGATAGGTTATAGGCTGTTTAACATGGTTGTAGAAGCAGGTCAGGTATGTGTACCTTGTATAAAAAAATGGGTTCTTGGCTGGGCATGGTGGCTCATACCTGTAATCCCAGCACTTTGGGAGGCTGAGGCAGGCAGATCACAAAGTCAGGAGTTTAAGACCAGCCTGGCTAGTATGGTGAAACCCTGTCTGTACTAAAAATACAAAAATTAGCTGGGTGTGCTGGCATGCGCCTGTAGTTGCAGCTACTCAGGAGGCTGAGGCAGAAGAATCACTTGAACCCAGGAGGTGGAGGTTGCAGTGAGCTGAAATCCTGCCACTGCACTCCAGCCTAGATGACAGAGCAAGACAAAAAAGGGTTCTTCTGGCTGTTTCTTCCACAGTTTATTCTAGGTTGCCAACTGGCATACATATCCTATTAATTCTTTAAAAATTTGAACACAGGGAACCTCCATGTGCATTTGTAGAATGCATCCAGCAGATTAACACTGTGACTTCCTTGGCTTAGGTGTATGCATCTTGTTCTAGGTAAAAGTGATTCCATTTAACTCTCAAATGGGCTTCATTTTTGGCCTTTTACAAGTGCTCTAGTTTTTGCCGCAGAGAATTATTGCTTTTAAAGGCTAAATTCAATGACAATCTAGCATTTTAGCATGTTATCTGAAACACACTGGGAATCTCCTAAAGCAATGGAATAGTTCATGTCCTATACATTGACAGGGGATATTGCTTCCTTCTAGTGTTTGGGGGCAAGTCCAATACAGCATCTCCAGCCACTTAATTAATCATTACCTATGAATGTGCAACAAAAAGTTTTGTTTCATCCTCTTCAAGAAATTTCATACATCAATCAGGAGGTTATTTGAAGAAGTGGTTTTTTGTTTTTCTGTTTTTGAGACAAACTCTTGCTCTGTTGTCCAGGCTGGAGTGCAGTCGGTGGCATGATCACTGCTCACTTTAGCCTTGACCTTTTGGACTCGAGCAATCTTCCTACCTCAGCATCCTGGGTAGCTGGGACCAGAGGCTCATGCTACCACACCTGGCTAATTTTTTTTTTGGTTTTTTTTTTTGAGACAAAGTCTCACTCTGTTGCCCAGCTGGAGTGCAGTGGTGCAATCTTGGTTCACTGCAACCTCTGCCTCCTGGCTTCATGCAATTCTCCTGCCTCAGCCTCCTGAGTAGCCAGAATTACAGGGGCGCGGCATCACCTCCAGCTCTTTTTTGTATTTTTAGTAGAGATGGGGTTCCACCATGTTGCCCAGGCTGCTCTCAAACTCCCAGCCTGAAGTGATCCACCCACCGTGGTCTCTCAGTGTTGGGATTACAGGCATGAGCCACTGCACCTGGCAAAAGAAATGGGTTAAACAAAAATGCCAGAGATGAAATGAGATGGTGTGGAGAATAGACTTTAAAGTCCCTGGAAGAATACCTAGTTTGCTTGAAAGCCCCTTAACCTAGGAAGTTGGACATACCATTTTCTTTGTCATTCTGTAATTCAACTGGCAATTCTATAGTGTGGATATATACTGTGTGTACGCGTATGTGTGTGTGTTAGGGAGGGAGGGATACCTAGAAGATACTGTTTATTTTCCAAGAACTCATGGTTTAGTAGAAAACTATGAGTAACAGAGGAAAAGATAAAGGACGGTGAAAAGCGGTAATTCTGCCTCAGGAAGCCTGAGAAGACTTCAAATAAATAGTAACGTTTGTATGTTTCTGATACAGGGTCTCACTCTGCCTTTCTCACTGCAGTCTCCACCTCCCAGCCTCAAGTGATCCTCCCACTTCAGCCTCAGGAGTACCTGAACAACAGGAACCACCACCACACCAGGCTAATTTTTTGTAGAGGCAAGGTCTCACTGTGTTGACCAGGCTGATCTCTAACTCCTTGAGGCAAGGAATCCTCCCTGCTTGGCCTCTCAAAGCGCTGGGATTACAGGCGTGAGTCACCGCGCCTGCCTGAAATTATAAGCTCTAAGCTTAAGTAATATTTCGCGGATACAGGAGCACATTCTGGACGCAGAGATCTTGACCATAATATGAAGGGCTACTCGTGATATGGACATCACATATACTCATAAAGCATATTGTAAAGATGCTAGCTTTAAAATCAGTCTTGTGCTCGCTTCCGCAGCACATATACTAAAACTGGAACAATACAGAGAAGATTAGATAAAAAAAAAAAAAAAAAATCAGTCTTAGGTTGTCTGGAATTTTTGACATAAATTCTAAGAATTCCAGGAGCTCCTGAGCTCCATGAGAATAAAAATGAACCTTTTGGAAAAGTCACTATTACCAAAAGGTGGGCATGTCTAAGGATATCTTAAGACAAAAATAAATGATAATTACCCTCGCTTGAAACCAGAAATGATTAAATAGACTTCCCTTTAGTCAATCATTCTAGTTGTTTCTAACCAGGAATATATGGTTTGAGCACCATACCCACTTTTGCTTTGCTAATATTGTGGAGACAAATGTGCAATCACTACCACTTTAAGATAAACATTCTTGGTATCACCTTTATGTCAGTTGCTTATAACAGGAGTTTGGTAAGATTATATTTTTAGGACGTTTTCAGAATTTGACCTGTATTCTTAATTATTCTGTAATGTAAATTCTACTAACTTGATTCATAAAACTAATTTATAATCTTCCTTTGAGATTTTTGGATAGTGTTCAATTAATACAAATTCGTTTAACTACAGTGGAAAACAAATACTTAAACTCTTAAGGTTTTTGCTGGATTCTGCAAACTCGTCTTTGTTTTCCCCGTGCCCGAACACTTAGTCAACAGGCAAATAATTATTTGTTGACTACAGAGGTACCTAGAAGCTTCAATTTCTTCTAAAGATATTGCTGGAAGCAGTAAATCCCAAAGTCCGAATAATCCAGTCTGCAGCCAAGGCATAGGGAATATTTAACAAGTTTATAAAAAGTAATTTTACTGTTACCCTGAATGAAACGCCTAACGGTGTTACAAACAACCACAACAAAAAACAAACCAACAAAACCCCAAACTCATAAACCTCGTCAAGACGACTCACGGCATTTGTATGTTCTATGTGCAAGGACTGGAGAACACCCCAACTATTAGTAAACGAATCACGGTACATTTTAGAATCTTTAAACAACAAAATCAAAGCAAAAACAATGTTTTCATTAAGATATGCAAATTACCTGCTTCTTTCGACCAAAAAAAAATTTTTTTTCAGGAGAAAAGCAGGCAAACAAAAATCTTACTTGGAAAGCCACATCTTAAAAAGAAGCCCTATCGGCGCAGCGACGAAAGGCGAAAACCTCAATGTCACCCGGTCCCGGGTGGCGACGGCAGGGAGAGGAGTTGCGGCTATCACTGAGCGCGCGGCCAGCTGCGGCGCCTGGCTCCTAGCTCCGCGGGCGTCCGGGTGGACAGAGCCAGGGGCACAGGGCTGACACCTCAGAGCTAATTCCCTCCTCGAGCGCAAACATCCAGGCTTAAGCTGCCGCAGGGTGTGAGCGTCCCCTCCCCTGTCCGAACGCCGCAGAAGCACGGGGCACCGCCGCCTTTGGGGACGTGCAGCCACACCCCAGCCTGACGCGGCGGCTCTCGCCCGCTACTGGAGTGGTGGGGAGGGGTGAGTGGACTCCAGGAATCCTCGGAAGGGCGGGGGCGGAGGCGGAGGCACCGAGCCCCTCTAGCCGAGACTTCGAAACAGCACTCCTTGTTCTCGATGGTCCCCGCGCGACCGTCTTAGAGCACGACACTTCCGGTTCCTTTTAAAGGCCCCCCGCTGCACGAAGCGGAGCTTGAGAGGAAGGTATAAAGGGGAGCGAGAGGGCCGGACCGAGGAGGAAGGGAAAAAAACCAAGTGGAAGGGGGCGGGGGGGAGGCGCGAAGGGCGCGCTCTCGCGTCACGTGACCGGGACGCGCCGTTCTTCCGTCGGCCATTTTAGGTGGTCCGCGGCGGCGCCATTAAAGCGAGGAGGAGGCAAGAGCGGCCGCCGCTGGTGCTTATTCTTTTTCAGTGCAGCGGGAGTGAGCGAGAGTGTGCGCCGTGCGAGAGTGGGAGGCGAAGGGGGCAGGCCAGGGAGAGGCGCAGGAGCCTTTGCAGCCACGCGCGCGCCTTCCCTGTCTTGTGTGTTTCGCGAGGTAGAGCGGGCGCGCGGCAGCGGCGGGGATTACTTTGCTGCTAGTTTCGGTTCGCGGCAGCGGCGGGTGTAGTCTCGGCGGCAGCGGCGGAGACACTAGCACTATGTCGGAGGAGCAGTTCGGCGGGGACGGGGCGGCGGCGGCAGCAACGGCGGCGGTAGGCGGCTCGGCGGGCGAGCAGGAGGGAGCCATGGTGGCGCCGGCACAGGGGGCAGCGGCGGCGGCGGGAAGCGGAGCCGGGACCGGAGGCGGAACCGCGTCTGGGGGCACCGAAGGGGGCAGCGCTGAGTCGGAGGGGGCGAAGATCGACGCCAGTAAGAACGAGGAAGATGAAGGGTGAGTAAGGGGCAGCCCGGGATAGTCAGGCCCAACTAGTCCCCTCCCCCTCCTTATTCCCCCGCCATTAGGCCTGGTTCCCGCTCTCAGCCCATCCTCTGGGCCCCCATGCAGCTTCCTTGCACCGGTCTCCCCTTGTCTATGTTGGGTTCCCCGGACCTTCATTTCCTCCTTCCTCTGCCTGCTTATCGCCCCCTCCCCCATCACACACGTTTCCACCTTTAGCCGTCACCATGCTGCTCCTTGGCCCGCCCTCCCTTCCTCGCCATGGGTCTCCTCCCACTGACTTAGCCGCCAGGATTTTTTTCCCGCCTGTCGAGGGGTACCTTTTTTCTTTTCGCGCTGTCCCCTCTTTTTTCCTTTTTCTAAAGTCTTGGGCATGAAAACGCAGGTAGAGACAAAAAGCTTCCCTGTTTGTATTACTAAGGTTTATTTGGTGCTTCTCCGCCATCCAGAGACGATGCGATTGTTTATAAGCACATGTTTTGGGGAACGCGTAGGCTATCTACCTCTGCCTCTCCTGTGTCGGCTTCAGGCCGAATGTTTTCTTGGGATTTTGAATAAGTTTCGCCTTATGACTCTCCTCATTTTCTCCACCGTACGCTGTCGTACAATGGCATTCTTATATAGGCCCTACAATTTGACATGCAGACCAAATTGGGTCTGGTGAAATGCTCCGAGTTTCTTGTTGGTACGTTGGTTTTGCTCCGCGGGCCCCGCTTAAGTTCCTAGTCGATGGGGCCTGCACTTGACTGGAGCCGTTCCTATCTCCGGCCTAGTGTCTACCCTTCCCCCACCCCCCTGAGTTATTCTAACCGCGCACCCTTTCGCGCCCTCAGTTATTGGGTTCCCGAACTGTTAGTGCAGATTGTACTTTACTTTTTATGTGCAACTGAATTTTTTACAGCCCCCTTTTTTTTCGGTGCCCAGGATCCTATTTTGGTGTCTTAATTTCTGTTTCCCGCCCACTAAGGGAGGCCTATAGTCCTCTTAAGAGAAACAAATCCTGTTTTGTGTTGTAGGATACTGTTTTTTTTCCTTTTTGGTGCAGATTTCTTAGTATTAACTTGGTTCTTTTAAGTGGAGTAACAGTTGTGTATCCGACCTAAATCTGCATTTAGTGCATTAAAATGCTGCATTTGGGATTGGGAACATAATATGGGAGTTAGTAGGAGGGGCTAAATCGGGGTTCTTGGTTGGGTTTTCTTAGCTCCGATTACTGACTGATGATCGTGGGTTCATGCTTCCATTCCTTTTTGTAATGGGGAGGGGTGTGTGTGTGTGTGAATTTTTTTTTTTTAACTGTAAGGAGAAAGTTGTTGGTGGATATAACAGTAAGATGTCGCTTTAACCCAGTATTAGTAAACACGATTTCCTTTACTGAGAAAGAGCACAAGGTTTGGAGGGAGAGTGGGGAGGGGAGAAGCACTTTGGAATATAAGATTTATTAAACCCAGCCTAGGCAGATTCTTGTCAGGCTGATGATAGTGCTGGTTTTGGGGGAGTGGTGGTGGGAAGGGAAACAGACTTTTAAAATTAAATAGAACTGACTTGAATTGTATATAGCTTATTTGGGAAAGGAAGATGTTAGATACTTGTAAATTTAAAGCCTTTAACATTTTGGTTTTCGTTTGCTGAACTGTTCTTTGGACAGAGGCACCAAAATGATTAAATGTATAACTTGCTGTTTGGGGCAGGCTTTGTGTTAGCCCTGATAAATCACAAAGCAGCTGACATTGTAGTTTACCTACTGTTGAAGTGTAAATGAATTAAAGTTTTTAACCCTAACAGTGTCGAAAACTAAAACTAGAATTTTGATTGGTTGCTGTACCGGTTGTTAATTCCCTAGCCATTCAAACTCCTCCCCACGACACACTGAAGCAGCGACGGCACAGCGGGAAGAATGGTAAAACTTTTAAATTTTATTTCTGTATTATAAAGGTTTCAGTAATCATAACATGCAGAGGTTGTGTATTGGTTAGTTGCCCACTGATCCCCAGGAAATTCTAGATGATAGTACAGTAGGCTTGTACCTGGGATATATATCTTTTTAGGCATCATATGTAATCTTTGGGCAAAATTGATGCCGTTACATGGTATTTGGTCTGTGGTAATGCATGTAGTTGCAGTTTGGCAATTTAAGCTAAACATAATTAGTAACGATATTTTTATATCTGAGCAAGAAAAAATATTACTGTAATCTCCACATTTGATTTATTTTAAGATGAAAAATATTTTTGTTGGAATTCTAAGTTTAATGCTAAATGTGAAGACTACTTGATATAAAATGTTGTGTTTAAAATGTCATGCATGTTATACTGAAATATTCTGGAGATGTCTGAAGCAGTTCTTTAAGCAGTTCTTTAAGCAGCACTGTGTATTATGCAAAAATGCTTGTCTTTTATTACCTACCATATTTGTAAGTAGACCTTTAATAAAAATTGTGTGTGTGTGTGTGTGTGTATACACACACACCATTCAAAGGTGGGCTAATGTGGCTTTCCACTACAGCTCTTACCAGATTTTTTATTTTCAGTGTGATTTGGCTGGAATATTAATTACAGTTGGTTGACATGTATTCACAATTGCATGACTTCTCTTTGGAGGCTGGTAGGTTGAGTATTGTTCTTTTTATCCACCCTTCCCCCTTCCCCCTTCCCTAAATGTCAGTCTTTCTGCCTTTAGGATTATATTTGAATTTTCAGGGGTTTAAACACCACCACTGGAGATGAGAGGGTCACTAACTTGCAGGCAGTTGTCTTATATCTTTATAAGCTACATTCTAAGAGTCCACTTAGGGTAATATCTAAAGATTTGCTTATTACTGTATTCTTATCCACTGAAATCAGTCCAGCTTTATGTTGGAGAAAAAGCAGACTGGAAACAGTAGGCAAGGGGAAAAGCAAAAAGGAAAAAAAAAGACACTGGAGTCACAGTTTAGATGAACGTTATTCCCATATTTGGTGAGCGGTGAGCACTTAACAGCTCAATTTCACTGCTAGCTAATAATGGCAAATTAAACTATAACTGTATTTTTTTGATATTACTCCATTAAATATTTTGAATCTCATGTATGTAATTGTTTCCAGTAATCTGAAATGATGATAAACAGATTTGAAGATCAGTGTTTTCACTCTTTAAAGATAATTGCTCTTGCCCTGTTACCTAAAACGATGTAAAATATTACAACTTTTTTGAATGATTAGGAAAAATGGACAATATATTAATAGTAAACATTTTAGATAGTCACCAGTTGTCATTTACTGAAAATAAAATTTTACCCAGGTTGACTTTAAAATTACACATTAAAATAATGTAAGTCTCATTTTTAGGGGTCTAACATTTGACTTAACTGTCTAATCATGCAGCCCCATCCTGTTCTAGACAGAAAGCCTTTCTTTTTGAATGAAAAACCTCCAGACCTAAATGTGTGTGTGTGTGTGTGTGTGTGTGTGTGTGTGTGTGTGTCTCTCTCTCTCTCTCTCTCTACTTGCCACTCTATCTGTCCCTTTCTTTGTCCCATTTTGAGGGATAATATATGGTGACAGATTTATAGTCTTAGTAGTGGGTATAAGACTGGTCAATAGATACAGTATCTAAATTGAATTTCTTAAACACAGTTTTGTGTGCATTTTCTTCTACAAATCTGAGAATAAAGTGATTATGATTTCATCCTAAAATACTTAAAAAATCAATTGGTTTTAGAATCGATATTTTTCCTTTTGCATGTAAGAATGGACAGCTGATTTTAGGAAGGCATGCCTGTTATACCTCTAGTGGCTGTTTCTATAGTTTACTATGGGACTTAATAGAATAAGTAATTATTTCCATAGTATGACTTCTTGAGTTACTCTTTCCAACATTAACATCCGTAGTTTTTACTTAAAAGCATTGGAATTTCTCATTTTACTTTGTGGTGTGGACACATTCCCTTCTCTGCAGTGCTGCAGTTCATTTGGGGTAGGTACTTTAAAATTGCTTAGTGTCTGGCAAAATATACATACCGTGTAGCAAGCTATCTGGGGGCAGAGTTTTTAAAATCTAAAAATTAGTGGAAACTGCAGTGTTGCGTTAACTTTGAGATAGTTTTATAAGGTAGGTACAATGACTTTCCTGCATTGGATTGGGTAGGAAGCAAAATAGTCCCCCATTCACTACGCCTAAGTCTAGCAATACTTCTTTAATAGCAGGACAGTAGATCTGGTCCTTTTAATGGTTAATGTAAAATGAGCTCAAGTGTGATTCTTCCTATTTGGGAATTTGTGAATCCTGCTGTACTTCGCCTCCTGTCTAATGATAAAAGACTAGGCTCATGTTTTTGCTTTAAATGTTTGAGATTATGGTTTTATACCTTAGTGTTTCTGGGGCGATCTGAATGTCGTTTGTAAAATAATTACTTTTAGAGTAGTCTCATGCCAAATTTACTAGCCTTGATTCAGTACAGTTGGGTTTACTGTATGTAGTAAAGTTGAGACCCTGAGTAGATTGGTCTCACTCAGCGTTAGCATTCTTGGAAGCCTTTGACAAATTTTCTCAGTTAAAAATTCCAAAAATTGATGCCCCCAGATCTTGAGATGAACATTAAGGGAGAAGAGTTAAATACTTTTTATTGTAAATTTTTTTATGAAAGATACTAAAAATCTGGTAACTTTTAAGTTTGGAATTGGAGAATGTCATTGAAGTTTTTCAGTGCTTGTTTTTGAGATACACGTACTTTGCTTATCTGGGGCTTTTCCATGTGACCCCTTCCAGAAACTCAGTGTATCTTTTTAATATTCCTGGGTACTCTGCCATCTGTCCTAAAACATAATATTAGGGTAAGGCTGCTCTAATACAAGAACATTTGAGGCTACTGTTCGGTGTGTGATTTATGGCAAACATGAAGGATGTGATTAGTTTTAGCCTTCAAGTGATAATACGTACCATGCTTGAAAGCATTTAAAAAGGAATAGAGTAATAACTTTTTTCCCATTCCGCTTGAAGCTGTGCACTTCAAATGTGTGCACATTTAAAATGGAGTGAAACATAACTTCTGTTAGTCCAAGCTTGATTTGACTTCAGTTCTGCTTCAACGTTTTAGTAGATAGGGGCACTGAACTGGATGCTGAAAGCCTGGGATCTCTTTCTGTTGCTTCATTTTCAACAGTGTGGTTTCAGGTAATACAACATGTTTGTTATTTGGTTTGCTGATCTGTGTGTTGGAAACAATGTTCACCACAGGAAGATTGACTACATAGCCTGCTTTCATAGCTTGTGTGTATTTATCCAGTGCCCTAATAGTTGATACTGCCAGTGATTTACTCCTGTGGAGTAAAGGTAAGCATGTTTTAGTTTCTGGAGTATTTTATTGTACTTTGGAGCTAGGTATTTAAGACTATTTGGGGGTGGGGAGGGAAGACTCCTATTTACTGGTGCTATTTGGCCAGTAATCAAGGTGTTTAAGTATTGGGTCGTGCACTGTAAACTCCTGCTTATCTAGACTTCAGACTACTACAGAGCCCACACAGCCAGGAATTCTGTCTCCCCATTTAGTCTTACGAGAAAGATGGATGAAGCCGTGAGAAAATACATTTAAAAAGCAACCAACAGACAATGTCATGGAATGAATCTCCTCCAGATTTTTCCTTAAACTTTTGAAAAGTAACGTGATTTTAAAACATTGGAAAATTCTAAAAATTCATCAAGGGAAAAGTTATTTTCTGACTTGAGCATTGATACCTAAATTGATTTCCAATAGATTTTATAGAATTGTGAATATGTAGTAATCTCAGTTAACCAGAACTTTAACCTTTAGGTTAAGGAAAATACTTATTCCTTAATCTCTAGGTAAATGGGAGTTTACCTTACAAAGCTGATTGAGAGCTTACTTAAAACATAAACATACAAGATGTCATTTGTTCCTTGTAATGAAATGAAAAAAGGGAGATGTTGGATTAAGCATTTAAAGGTCATTAAAAAACATAGTGGCTCATGCCTTTAATCACTATTAGAAGTCGGAGGTGTGAGGATCATTTCAGGCCAGGATTTCTAGACCCGCTAGGCAACATAATAAGACCCCTGTCTCTTAAAAAGAAAAATTAGCTGAGCGTGTTCTGGGGGCGGGGTGTGCCTGTAGTTTTAGTAGCTACTCAGGAAGTGGAGGTGGGAGAATCTGTTGAGCCCAGGAAGGAGCTCAGGGATGCAGGAAGCTATGATGGAGCCAGGGTGCTCTGATAGTGAGACCTGTTCTGTTAAAACAAATGTTTACTATTTTTAGGCCAGCTGTGGTGGCTTGCGCCTGTAATCTCAGCCCTTTGGGAGGCCAAGGTGGGTGGATCACCTGAGGTCAGGAGTTAGAGACCAGCCTGGCCAACATGGCGAAACCATCTCTACTAAAAATACAAAAGTTAGCCGAACGTGGTGGCACATTCTGTAGTTCCCATTACTCAGGAGGCTGAGATGGGAGAATCGCTTGAACCCTGAAGGCAGAGGTTGCAGTGAGACAAGATTGTGCGACTGCATTCCTGCCTGGGTGGCACAGCAAGACTCTGTCTCCAAAAAAAAAAAAGTTTATTTAAAAAACTGTAATGTTGACTGGGCATGGTGGCTCACGCCTTAATCCCAGCACTTTGGGAGGCTGAGATGGATCACCTTAGGTCAAGAGTTTGAGACTAACCTGGCCAACATGGCAAAATCCCATCTCTATTAAAAATGTGAAAATTAGCTGGGCGTGTCGTGGGCATCTATAATCCAGCTCCTTGGGAGGCTGAGGCAGGAGAATAGCTTGAACCTGGGAAGCAGAGGTTGCAGTGAGCTGAAATTGCGCCATTGCACGCCAGCCTGGGCAGCAGCCTGGACTCCATCCTCCCCCCCAAAAACTGTCATATTTCATTTATTAGATATTTATGTTTTCAACTTCATTTTTTA